TAGCCCTGAGCTTATCCCACCCAGTTTCAAAATTACTCTTCAAAATGCTTGCCTGAATACTGCCTTGCTCCCATTTTTAGTTTCATCACTCTCATCTAGTTAGGATGAAAACTGCTATTTTGACAATTCTGCACAGATGCTCTGTGCCTGTGTTACAACATGGCCCATTCCTGGGTCATGAGACAGGATATGGTCCTATGGCTACTGGCACATTGAGCCTGGCCTGGAATCTCAGATTCTGAAATAGGCTGACAGCTGTGAGAGTGTCACTGTCTCAGGCTGCAAGTTTTCAGGTTATCAGCAGTCAGATGCCCAGATTTGGAGCAAAAATCAGTCTTCTGCTTCTGTCAGAAACCAGGTGGAGGAGAGTACCTGGTACTACTCAGAACAACCACTAGGGCCAGAGGCTAGAGAGGAATAACAGCACCTCCAGCTGTCCTGCTTAAGGGCCACCGACCAGCAGGAGCTGGAAACACATTTCTCCAGAATGTCAAGAGCACGGCATTCAACATTCTGCCCAAGGTGGTGTATTTCTTTGAAGAATCACACTTTCCCTTAAAGTTCATTGAAGTTTTCTTCCTATTCTTAAAATGTGAAAGCTTGTCAAGATGCAAAGTTAGTGTTTTGTCTGGTCCTTGAGTACAGTTTCATGTATTACTCTGTGACTTCCAGTGGGAGCCAGGGAGCTCAGAGTGGTCCTCCGGACCACTCAACTTCAGTGTCAGGAAGATTTGTCACATGTCTATCATTCATAAGATTTCTGACTGTGGGGAAGTTACCTAACCATGTTAAACCTTCATTTCTCATCTGTAAAATAAGGCTAATCCTATTTTTACTCTCACAGGGGAGCTGTAAAAGAGTACCAGGAAATACGGAACAAAGTCACTATGGAACACAGTGTAACACCCAAGAATGGTACTCTTGTGTGTATAAATATGTATGTGTGTGCCCTTTCTCAAGGTAGGAAGGCAAATCAAACTTCCTTCTGCAGAGAGAGCATCTTCAAAATGCCGTGGCTTAGGTGTTGCTTAGTCCACACAGCAGGATCTTCTGTTGAAGAGAATTTTCCCTATCTCTTCCTCCCAGCCATCAGAAGGCAAGGCAGTTCCATGAGAAAATTTATCTCTGTCCTCCCCCGTTCTCAGACCTACTCTGGAATTGTCAGCTACCATGGATGTGAGTTTAAAGCTAGCTCCTTAATGCACACAGTCCAAATGATGAAAATTAGGAAACTTTTGCTTCCCCAAGGAATATATTCTATATATTTGGAGAAGCAAATCTAACCATGGTAATTCTGAATTTAAATATCCCCTGAGGCTTAAGGACATACAGCATTGGAAAAGTGACCCTGAGACACAGTATGAATTGAATTAACACATAGACATTCCCAACTTGACACACTCCAATGGGAAGACTGTAAACTCTACGGATTACCAATATTCCTTCAAAAACTTGCTAGTCAATGGAAAAAACAGCTGGCACACATAGACTCTCTGTTTCTGGGTGTTCTGAGAAAGGTAACAAGATTCAGTCAGGGTGTGTGGAGACGAAAAACATGACTATGGCCATATAAAGAGACTGAAAAGCTTGATCGAAAACACAACTTATAAAGGTGAACAAAACTAATCAAACCACAAACATCCCCGCACTCTGAAAATTGACCAAAGGGACCCAAGAATCTAAGAAATGTTGATTCTTGAAAAATGCTGAACTTTGAGTAAATGCAGTGTGAACTTGTGATATTCTTGCCTGGAGCTGCTCCCAACCCCTACTCTCCACCATTGAGTCAGCAATGGAACAGGGCAGGACATAAGGATGGACAGCTTCAGTGCTGGTTTATTATAAAGAATAAGGCAAAGAATAAAGGAGAATGGACTGTTGAAGAAATGGATAGGCCAGGTATAGAGAAGAGTGTAGAGCTACAGGCACCTGTTATAGATCATATATTCCTTTGCACACACACACACACACACACACACACACACACACACACACCCGCAAGGCCTCATGTAATTTTAGATGCTGCTGAATCTAGTACTTGTGATTGGTTATTGTCTAGCACTGGGATTGGTGATGTGAGTGCTGCACCCGCCCAGGGGTGGAGCCAGTGTAATGGGGGAAGAAGTGGGGTCTTTCTCTTTTGCTTTCATTATGCTTTTGCTGCTTGTTGCTGCCATGAAGGGCTGCCTCACCATGCCATGCTGCCTTAGAGCCAACTGACTATGGACTGAAATCCCCAAGAACTGTAAGATATAAACTTTTTCTTCCTTCATTTTGGGCATCAGATATTTTGTTCCAGCAAGAAAGAAGAGTTAACTAAGACAGCAGTCCCTATGTTCCACTACCCAGAAACTCAAACACTGCTCTCTTTGGCTTCTGTGTACATTTATTACATGTACATAATTGATTACCCTGTTAGTCATTTGTGGCCAACTCAGCCTTCAACCCGTCTCCCCTTCTTAGACGTTTCAGGATATGGCTCAAAACTCCAAGCTTCTAATCCCAAGGTTAGCTCCCCTGGCAACCGGTCCCCACCTGAAGATAAGCAGAAGTCCACCAAGAGTCACCTGATTAGAACCAAAGGTGTCTTATAACGGAAAATTCTAAAGGGTTTAGGAGCTCTGTGTCAGGAACCAGATCAAAGGCTCCATACAGAATGGAAGATTCTCCTGACACCATTATCTTGAAGGCTTTTAGGAGTTAGGTGTCCACACATGAGGCAGAGTGCAGTTATATATATTGTTGTTATTCTATAACACAACAACAAAAAAAGCATTAAGGTGAAGGAGAGAACAAAAAGGTGACAAAACAATAGCAAAATGGCTATGGAAACCTAAACATCAACAATCCCACTAAACATAAATGCTCTGGGAGGGCAAAAGTAACTCCAAACATCACTGCTGACAGGGATAGAGGTCTAGATACCCTGGTCCTACACCAGGTGCTGCAGGTGCAGATCCTGCAGGACTCCTGCAGTGTGAATGCTGTTCTGATTTCCATTTTAGAAAGGAAAAAAATAAACAAGGAAAAACTGAATGAAGGGCTTGCCCAGTGAGTAAAAGAGTAGGACAATGAAATACCTTCTTGGAATCAAATCACTGAAATATATATATATATAATCAAATCACTGAAAAAAATATATATATATACCTAATCCAGCAACTGCACAAGATTCTCAAAATAGAGAAAAAAAATCAGCAGCTGTCCTTAAATATTTTGCATGAATGAGCCCATGTGTAGTCTTCATAACAATCCCTCCAGGCAAGTGACATGATTATTTCTCTTTTTATTCTACATTTCAGATGTGGTCTGAGCATGCCTTGCAAGGTTTATGCTCTGGAAGCTTGGACTTCAGTGTGGTGGTCTTGTCAGATAGTGGGGGTTTTAAGAAGTGAGACCAAATATACATAACTGTGCACACCTGTAATCCCAGCACTCTAGGAAGCTGAGGCAGGAGGATCAAACGTCTGAGCCCAGCCTGGGCACTTTAGCAAATTATCAAAACCTCATCTCCAAAACAATAACATGCTGGGAATGTAGCTCAGTGCAAAGCCCCTGGGTTCAATCCCCGGCACAGAGGAGGAGGGGAGAAATAAGCCTAGTGTCAAGTCATTGAGAGTGCTACTTTCATCAGGGATTAGTGTAATTCTCCTAGAGATCCCAGGTGCTCCCTCAGGGGAGAGCTGCTATAAAGAGCAAGACTGGCCTCTCCAGTCTCTCTGGCTTCCTGTCTTGTCATGTGATACCCGTCACACTCATTGTATTAGTCACTTTCCTACAGCTGGGACAATATACCTAACATACCCAATTTTAAAGAGAAAGGGATGCTTTGGCTCACAGTTTCAGAAGCTTTAGTCCATGGCTGGCTGGTTCCAAGGCATGATAGAAAGGTATGGCAAGGAAAAGCTGCTCGTCTATGGCAGCCAAAAAACACAGAGAGAAGGGCATAAGGGAAAAGACCTGGATACAAACCATCCTTTCAGGCTACACCCTCAGTGACCCACCTTTTTTGACAAGCCCCTCACCCCCAATAGCACATTCAACCATGGACTCATCAGTGGAATAATCCACTGGTGAGTATAACAGCCCCGTGATCTAAGAATCCTTTAAAAGCTGGTCGCTAAATACATGGCACTTTTAGGGACATTTTAGTCTAAACAGTAGTACTCATCATCCATCAGACTCAGCAGCATGCTCTTTGGATTTTCGTTCTCCAAAATGGTGAATTAAATAAAAGTCTTCCTGGTACATAGTCTACTCTCAGATGTTTTGTTGTAGAAGCAAAGTAAAGGAGACTAAGACACTCTAAAACTGAAGAAACTCGGACACAGGGAAACTAACTTGCCCAAGGTCACACAGTGACTGTCAGAATGAGCATTCCAACCAGTTATCTAGTTACAGAGCCTATTCGTATATGATGTAGCCTCTCATATGTCTATGTGACCTTCCCCCAAATTTATCAGTGTTATCATAGAAATATGGATAAAAGGGAACATGAAAGTAGCTTTATGTTAAGGAAAGGGTGTCCTGCTTCAGAATCCTGTTTCAGAATTCTTTTACTTCCATGATGGAAGAGAGTGTTTTGGCTAGAAATGCATCTATTTCTAGCCATTTGAATCATTTATTCATAATTATTATCAAGCCTCTGCCTTCTGCCTTCATAAGGAAAGAGTTGGGACTCTTAAAAAACATCTACTATTTTACCGAACACTTCATTTAATCCTCACAATTCTCCAAATTAAGTGTTATTACCACCATTTTATTGATAAACTGAAACTTTGAAAAATTAATTGCCTAAAACTTTCAAAAATTGAGGCTCAGCCTACTCCCTGTTGGTGTCTCATCCCTGAGTGGGGGGGAGTTTTGGGATTCAACCCTGGGGGAATGTCCTATAGGGGCGAGTCCTGGCATTCAGACTCAGTTTTCTGCAGATCTTCAAATCACTTTGATTTCCTATGATCAGTAGTGAATTGTTAGCAAGAAGTGGAACATACGAAAAATGAAATCTGTTGTCTTTATTCTTTATTTGAACATCAAATAGGTTGAGAAAATTGGCTTAGAAGTGCTCAAGTGTCCTGCTGGATTCTTTACTTTTTCAAGGTGCAAAAAAGGTTTACAAGTGTGTTTCATTAAACAAAGCAAAGCTGTGACAGAATGGACTCACATCAATAATAGTAGCATCAGCACAAGGGCATATGGATCCATCAAACACAATATGGCATTTGAGCCTTTTCCCATAGAACAAGAGCTCTACACTGAAGAATATGTAGTGCACAAAAAGCATTGTTTATAAACTGTGAAAGAACATAAACTGGCATAATGTCACTTATTAATTCAAGTCTCTATGACCAATGACCTCTCTGTCAATGCAAAGGGGTCTATGTCCTAGGCACCTGCTCATGGGACTATATGTTATTTCCAGGGTGCACAGCTCTGTACACACATGCACACACATATGCACATGAAAGATGGATTTGAAACATGGCAGCATTTACATATTTAAAAAGTTCAGGCACATTTGGATGAAAAAAACAAAAAACAAAAAAAGAATAGAAATTTTTGAGTCTCTGAAAAACAGTGCAAAATTGAAGTATCGTAATAGAGGCAGCAATTACTTAGAAAACAATTTTAAGTGACTTAAGAAGAGCTCACACTTTAAATGGAAAATGAAGCTAGAAACAGAGCATAACCACACTAATGAGAAGATGGATATTTGGGACCACAGTTAAATCCGTTTCTTCCAGGTGAGAATGAGTAAATTGGGGGGGAGGGTTAATCTAAAAAGTGTGCAGTGTACTCTGGATCAACCTCCCAAGACTTGCACCAAAGAGAATCTTGGTTGCCTTATGAGCTACTTGTATGTCTCTATCTGCTTTTCAAAGAACTAGTTTCCCCCATGCAGATCTGCCTGTGAATAATGGACATTATCATGGTCCCAGTGACCTTTCCAAGTATCCACACTCAATCTCAAAGGTGGAAAATATGAACAGGAAGAGATCTGTAATTATTTTTATGTAGGAGCAAGGGTGCTCTAAATGAGTGACCATTTGAATGTATACTATTTCAAAGTGAAAACATTTTAATGTGATTAAAAGTAAATTATCAGTAAGTCACTTATTTTTTTCAGTCCCCAAAAGACATAGAATATGGCATGGTGAAAGATATTTGCAAGACTACTAGGGAATGAAAGTTTACACTTCCTTGGTGGCTAAGTTTTACAACTTGTATCAATGGAGATTTTCTCTTTGGACAATCTAGTCTCTTACAGCTGCATGATAGTACTACTAAGTCATTGCAGCAAGCTAGACAGTGGCTGAGAGAAACACAGACCTCTAGCTTTTCTTTGGCCATCACTGTCTATAACTCTTTCTTCTCAGGAACTTGAGCTGCCATGTTGGAAATGGCAGTCACTAGAGCTAGTTATTTTGGATACAGTGCAGAAATGGAATTTCAAAACCTCGTACATACCCCAGATATCAGACTCTTTCAATAGTCTTATTCCTCATCCTCCCATTCTTCAAATTCCCAAATCTACTTCCTCACTCTATTCTAACCCTCCAAGAAGATCATGTCTTTCAAGCTTTAAGTTTGCATCAAAGTGGAGGAAAATCAGGGGCACAGCTTTCTAGCATATCCCCATGCCTTATAGCAACATCGGCTGAAAAATATCAGCAGCTCATTATTGGCACTTCAAATAGGAATAAAAAGAGATTTCCAAAAATTGTTTGAAACTCTTGGGCTAACATTTCAACCATCTGATGTTCTCTGCCCATTTCAAATGTAGTAGTAGTATCTTAACATGAATACAAACACAGTAGATGAATAATGTAAAACCTTCTGCGGCATTATTGTTTGGATTTAGCTGGTATTACATCATCTATAGTCCTAGAGATTTTTTTGTTTTTTTTTATTTTATTTTTTAAAAGAAAAATCTCAGTACAAACATTAAAAAGAACCCACTGACCCATTAGCTACTGTCCAAAAATATTACTACTGGTATTTTGGTAAAAGCAAAATTAGCTGCCCTGAATAATTTTCCTTTTCAGGCATAATCTCTGCTACATAAGATTGTCATTCAATATCCAACAATAGGCATGTAGATTAGCGCTATTTTGTCTACTGTGGATACAAAAGTTGATATGAAATGTGATCTTCATTTAAATGAATAATCACCCGACTTAGGCATCAAAACTGCATACAAGACAAGGTAGCTTGAAAAGTATACAAAAAAATGAAATATTTTTCCTTGGTTTTTGCACATTAACCTAGTCAAATTAAATCCAGAACAGAATTATTACATTCAGTTGTCTGATAAACAAGCAATGCAATCTCAAAAAAATATATATTATACTATATAAGGTGCTTCAAAAACAAACCACAAAGAATTATGTTCTTAAACATATTCTTAGCACAGATATATAAAATTGCCCCTAAATTCAGATGCACATACGTGAAAAAACCTTTTTAAAAAAATTTTTTGGCCCTCCTGGTTTCCCAGTCTCTTGGTAGTCACTTAACTAGGAAACCAGAAATGAATGAAACTCACTTTTCCAAACAGAACATACCAAGAAAAGCCTCAAGCTCACCTGGGCTGTTGGTTAGTACCTCACCTCTCAATTGGGTTTGAATTACAGACCATGAAGTCAGGGAAGGAGATCAAATTTTCTTTTTCATTAAGAAAAGTAAATGACTCAGAATTGCACTGGGGATGCAAAGATCCGGGAGGCAACCCTGTAGCTGGGCCAATACTTTCTTTTTTTTAGCCTGCTGGTCAAAGAATTCTTGTGGAGTGATTCTGGTCTTATTCTGCTGGCTTATGAAGTTTAAGGACGTGAGTTGGGGGAAAGGGGGTGATATTTTCTTCCCAAAACCACTAGCTGATTTTTGGATGAGCTCTGAATAACCAAGGGCATATGTAGTCTGACCAGGCCCAGGTAGCCCAAGGGAGTGAATTTTCCAATCCCTGCCCTCCTCCTCTTCCCCTGCCTGGAATGTGCTGGGCTGAGAATTCAGCTGTCCAATGCTGCTTCTTCCAATCAGTGCCACATGGAGATGAAACGGAGGCAAACCACTCCGTGGACTCCAGGGCAGCCTTGCTGTGCAGTGCAGGATCTATGAGCTGCAAACCACCTGCTGTCTGTGGTCTGGCCACCCTGAGCAAAGGGAACCTGCCAGAGTTTTACCCAGTTTCTCCTTTACTTGCCCTCTCATTCTCTAGCAGCCACAACCACCATGCACATTTACTATTTAGTTTCATGCCCCAGGGATAAAGAAAAACAAGCAAAAAAAAAAAAAATTAGAAGTATCACCAGTGTGCCAGCTCATTTAAATTGCCCTTGATCATGGCTGGGCTCTGAACACATCAAGGTTAAATCACACAGGAGGAGCCAGGCAGAGCGCCCTCTGCTGGTAAGTGCGAAACCCCACCAGAATGGTCCTAAAGCTGGAAGTTCAGGGGATAGAGGGCTTTCTTTTACAGAAAGGGAGACAACAACAACAACAAAAAATTAAACATGCCCCTTATATGGGGAGATTTATCTGTATGGTAGTGACTGAACTGAAACTGACTTGCTGCTTCCCACAGGTCCCTGGGAAGCAGGAATCACCTGGCACCCGTGACCTACATATGTGGTACTCTGGGAAGCTAGCAATAGCGACTTAAGCAAGCTCAAGGGGTCAGTGTTTAAGTTGATACCGTCTTGACATTAGGGGATCTTCCTTCCCTGTGTGCATCTTGTATTCTTATAGGGCAAATGAACAGACAATCACCAAATATTGTGCTAAAGCCATGCGATGGAGCAAAAAGGTCAAAGAATCACTTTAACAAAGTGGCGCATTACTATTGGAATACAAGAGGATGCTCTAACAAACCCTTGAGTTAGCTTTCTCCAAGTCATCAATTAAAGGAGCCACTTTAAATTCTTTCCTGAGGCTTATTCTTGGAGCCATTACAAAGTGCTTAGCAGAGGCGAAATGTCTATTCTCCAGGCCTGGGTCTCAACGAGTAGCTTCAATGCAGTCATCTCATGCAGGCTGAGTTCAGTCATGATGAGCCACAGGAATCCTCATTCTCAATAATGTAGCAAAGGGGGGAAGAGAGCTGTTACAAATATTTAGCCCTGGAATCCCTTTGGCTGTTCCCAACAGAAGACGTGTCACTAAGAACTGAGCAAGCGAATGAACTGCTACTCTTACTAGAAAGCCACTGGCAGTGGATGCATGCCGGAGTGTGTGCAGGAGACAGAGTTCTGCTGAACAGATGCATGACAGGTAAAAGGCTGCAGGGATTCTCAGAACCTTGGGGAGGCCAGGAGCTCTCAGATTGTATTGGGGAAACTCTCTGCTTCCTGGGAGACGTAGTATGTTTGCAAGGAATGTGCGGACGAGGAGCCTATCGTGGCCAGCTGGCTCTGGCTGGGCTCCTCCGGGGACCCGCCCATGGGGTTGGAGGATGTGTTCAGGCGATGGGCCTCCAGCATCTCCAGCAGCAGGTTGTACAGGGGCACCACGTTCTTGCACTTCATGTTGTACAGATGTTCCACACCTTTGTTACTACAGAGGACACAGAGAGGACCACGTTAGACCCAACCCAGTCCCAGAACAGTATGAATTTCTAGGAAGGGGAAGTAACAGAAACTCCAAGGACACTTGCAATGCAATCTTCCTTCCTATGTGAAGGCCCATGTTAGGATGGTATCTGAAGAAGACTGAGGAGCTTCAGAGACCATGGTCTTTGGGGCTCACCTCCATGTTGGGGTTTTCAAGTCACCCCTCTATATGAGCAGTCTCACCATCACAGACTCCCTCTGACATTCTAGCACTATTCTTGTCTATCACCAAGATATCTAAAAAAAGAACCTGAGACATGGAGCCAGTAGGAGTGAAGTCTTTAAATATGTGAAGCAGTTCAAGGATTCCCTTGCTAAAACCTCTCAGTAGATTCCCATCAAACTCAAAGAAAATGGAAAGCCCTGCCCACGTTCTGCACGGCCCACCTGACCTGTGACAGTCTCCCTTGACAAGCTCATCCTGTCTGGCATCCCCAGCTTGCTCTCTTTATCCATACTTCCTGCTCTTACAGGAACTGAGTCCTTCCAGAGTCAGGGGATCTGAACATGGTAGTTGCTCATATTGGATGTTTTGCTCCCGAGTCCTGAAATGCCACCTCCTCTGAGAGGCTCGTGCTAGCCCGTGCCAATGGTCCAGGCCTCTGTAGTCTCAAGTGCTGTCTTCTGCATCTTTCCTTTTCCCCTAGTACACTTCTTGCTGGAATTCTTCTATGAATTTGTGTGTGTTTGTTCTGCCCAACTCCAAGCACATGCATGCTCACACACACACATCCACACACACACCCCACAGTACATACTGTGCAAGTTCCACCAGGGGCAAGGATTTGTTCACCCTGTTCTCTACTGTAGCCAGAACAGTACCCAGAACTTAGTAAATGTCCCACAAACAGGATAAACAGGAGGAGAGAGATGCAGGCGCATGGTATTTTTCCATGCTCCTCCTCTACCCTCTTCCATCAGCCAGGGTTCCATAATAAAACACTGTCCATAATACAACACAGGCTGGGGATGGGAGAGCAACCACTATGTAGCTAGAAACTTCTTTAAAAGAAGCGCGTGCCAAGAGTAGGCAGGACCAGGAGAAGTCCTAGCAAGGATCTGCACAGCTGGTGAGAGGAAAGCCAGTACAAATTGGACTCCTGCCATAGAAACACAGCCCAGAGCCCTTCAGGACTGCAGGCCAACCTAAATCACGTGTTTAAGTGTTATTTTGTTTTTGCTTTGCTTTTTAATTTAAAATGCTGTTAAAGTCAAATGCCCCTTGGGTCTGGCAGTGTCTCTCTAGTGCACCCTAATGAATCACATTTACAGTCAGATGAAATATGGTGTTAAATTCTCTGAGTGGGAACATATGGCTGGGGTCAAGCTTAATAAAATAGTTGTATGATTTAAAATGGCTGTGATGAGGTACCAAAATATTATGGTGTATGCGGGTGTGCATTATTTGTGTGTGAGAGACAGAGATAGAGAAGGACAGAAAAGTACACAGAGAGAAACAAAGACATAACAGAGTAGAGAAACTGCCACAAGCTTTCTAAAGAATTGCATATTCTTTCTGGTTTTTCACACAATTCCAAAAGAAACTACTTCTAGGACCTCTGTTATACATTGCCAGTAAAATCAGCCAGGGCTAAATATTTGGGGTAGATATTCTTGGTATTATTGGTAACTAATTGGGCTTGTCAATACAGACAAGCAGTTAGTATATCTGAAAAGTCAGGAATTCTTACTAACAAAATAAAAGCATTCCGGGTGCCTCATGATTTCTGCATCATCACCAAAATCCCTAGCTTGGAGTAAGAGCTAGCAGATGCTTTTTGAAGGAAAGATCACATTCACAGCCAGGTAATTTGGCAGTGGCTGTGCTATGCAGATCCACTCCCTGTTTCTTTCTCTAGGATATTCATCAAAAGAGAAAGACAGGAAAAGATTGGAAATGTTTACTCTGAAGCAGTCACCTATTCTACTTGCCTATCACACCGGGATTCTTGGGGAACTGTGAGAAGAGAGATTGCAACTAGCTTCTCCCAAACGCTGCCATGTGGAAGCCTTTACTGACAAATTTCAAGTTCCCAGGACAGGGGAAAACATGCCATGAGTCATTTAGTCACTGATTCGGTCACTCCTTTATCAGTCATTTAATCAACAATAATGTTGTGAGCACATACTACTGTATATGTAAATTTTCATATGCAGCACTCTGGGGGATATTATTTCTATGCTCACATAGAGCTAATAATTTTGTAAGACTGGCAAGGAAGGGTGATATCTGCATCTTTAATGAGATAAACCTTGCCATTTGAAGCACAGAGTCCAAGACTTAAAGACTACTTAAATTATCTTATCCTACCCCTTTGGTTATCCTGGTCCTTTTCTCATAGCTAACTAGAAAAGCTATCTCTTTTTAATTCCTAGGGACTTGCGTAAGCCCAATGTCATGTAGTAACCCAAGAGAACCTGCCTCTCTGTTGTCACCATTCTAGATTATTGTCATTACTGCAGGCTTTCTGGAGTCTGCAATAAAGACTATATTATTTTTATCTCATTTATGTAGGTTGAGCTATGCACGACATCCACTAAGCTTGTGTCCAACCAAGTTCATGATTAGAATGCAACTGAGGCCATTGTCTCCTTTTGGCGTTGAAAAGGTTCCTCTGCTGATGTCCTGCCATGGTTTCTCTAGAATATATTTTTTGAATATGTACTATGTGCCCAGAACTATGCTAGATTGAATTAGGTAAACAGAGTAATCAAGACAGATTGTGATGAGTGTCTCACAGAATTTACAGACTAATGACATAGAAAGATAATAAAATGGGCAGTTACAATAGTTACAGGGCATAAGTCCCAAGTAGGTTTTAACAGTTGGAAGGTGCTTTTGTAAGGAGTGACATCTAAGTGATGGTAGTTTAGATGAATGTTCAGAAATGGTCACTCCCCAGCTCTGCACCCATGGTGGCTTTGGGATTTACCATCTGACTTGCTTAGATAATGGAATGTTAGCAGACATCATGTAACTAAAAGACTCAAACGAAGTTGCCCAAATGGCCTTGCTTACTTGTACCTCTGCCATTGAGAAGAAAACAAGTCCTAGCTAACCTGTGGATACCAGGAGGATGAGATTTGAGGCAGGACAAGCAGAGTAAGCTGGCCAACCTGTGGGTCTGCAGCTTGAAGCAAAGTCCCACCTGTGATCCTGCAGATGTAGAAGTGAACCCCACTGAGACCCACAGAGCTGTCCATCCAACCGGAAGCTTGTAGTGGAGCTTCCAAATGACTCACAGAGCACTTTAGCACAGGTTCAGACCATGAAGAGATCCCAGTAAATTACATAGGTCTGGACCATGCAGAAAAACATAAAGAAAATAAAGAGTTATGTCTTTATCTAAAAGTTATGGGAAGCCTTTCAAAGGTTTTAAGCAGGGAGACAACACAATCTGATGTGGTTTCAGACTGATCACTCTGTGGGAAAAGGACTAGAAAAGAGTTCAGTTAAAGGCATGAAGATATGTTAGGTGGCTGGTGAAGAAATCCAACAGGAAATGACAGTGACCTAAATTTACACATAGGGTAAAAGCAATGGAGGTGACAAGCAGGTATGGAGTCAGTTTTACTCTCTGGCTAGCAGGTGTCTTAAATTAGGACTTTTCAAGTGTAAAGTTGGGGAAAGTGTGTCACAGGAACACTAAGGGATACATCCAGTGCCTTCAGAGTAGGTGCAAGCCACCCATTTCCTTTGATTGGTCTCCTCCCACAATGCTGTAGGACCCTGCCCATGTGTCCAACCAAGTGTACATATCACTTCCTCTGGAAAGCCCTCTCTGACATTTGTCCCACAACCCAGGCAGATTCAATGCCTCCCTCTTCTATCTCCCATAGCATGTGAGCTTACGATGCCAGGGAACTGCTCCAATGGTACCCTCCATATGTAGGCAGAAACCCTTCTTAGGAAAACTGTCACATGGGTTGGATTAACTTTCTTTAGGGCTCTCTGTGGGACCGCAAGGATGCCTCACCTCATGTGCCGGATGTGGGAGAGGATGAGAAGGAGCTGAGCCAGACGCCGATGCTGCTGCTGCAAAGTCAAGCCTGCTTTGGCCATCAGGTGGATCAAGGTGTCTATGATCTTGTCCAGGACCCGGTGGATATGGTCCTTCTCTTCCAGAGACTTCAAGGTGCTGGACAGAAAGGTGTACATTCCTGAATGTGCAGAGAAAGAGAAAGAGAGAGAGAAAGAGAGAGAACGACTCAAAGAGGACAAGGTCTAGAGACAGGAAGTGTCCCGGGCATAAGTAGAGCCAGGGACCTCCCCTGTACAGTATTAAAGCAGTGGGGTCCTTCCAGACCCATTCAAAACCAAACAATTCAGTGAAGTTCTCAATGAGCACATGTGTCTGTGAGCCTCAGGAAACCAGTGTGGCTCCCTGTATCTCAGCCACGATTCCCTGAGAAGAAACATTAGCCTTTGAGCCATAGTGGGAAAGGCCCCTTCTTGGATCCATCTGACCGAAACCAATCAACACAAACTGAGCATTTAAACTTGAGCATAACTCTAAGGGGAACCCATTATTGTTCCTTTTTGGGGAGAGAAATGAATGAACTTGCCAAGATAACTCACATAGTATAGAGCACAGCTAGACTGCACCCAATCTGCCAGTTCCACATCTGGTAATAAGTAGACTCTCTCTTAGAAGACATGGGTGAGCCTCAAGAGGGTGATGAATGGTTGCATAAGTCATTGGAAGGTGATTTTCCCAGGTATGATTACCTTGCTTCTATGTTTCTGGTGGGGTTTGTGGCCTTTTTTGAGCTTTAGCTGAAAAGATTGCCATATGGGTGTCTATGGAGGACCTTGGGAAGAGCTGTGTCTACTGGCTGATAGGCTTGTTCTGTCTTTCCCTTCTGTACTCTGTGCTGCATGTAGTTTTGTGACTGAATTAAGAACTAGTTCTAAGCCAGACAATTAGAGCCCTCTTCTGGGACTGTATATAGAGGCTGTGAGCCAATAACTCTTTCCTCTCAGGTTGCTAGACTGGGCTGTGAAAATATTGGATAGGGCCCTGAATGGATGTCTTCCTAACACATCTCCTTCTGCAGAAATTGCTGAGCAAAAGTAAGCAGAGTTTAGAGTTCTATATATGGAAGAAGCAGAGAGAGTCCAGATTCATACAAGGTCCTAATTCTTATATATTTTTCATTATACCTTTGAACTTTATAAAATCCTTCCTAACATGATTCAACTGATTCTTAGATTGAGAATGTGAGTTGAGTTTCTTTACTTGCAACAAAAAGAATCCTAATTGTAAAATAAGTTGTGAGCTCAGCCCCAGGATCGGAAGAAGGTGAGTGATAAGGAAGTGAAGACTGATGAGAGCGAGAGGAGGGCAGGATGAAGTGCACTTGTCTTGGGACCTCAGGGATGGACTCTCCCAACTAAAATCTCCAGAAATAGGCTCCTCCTGACCAATCAGAGCATCTTACAAGATACTTTTCTGCAGATTACGAACATGCAGCAACATTTTTTTGATCTGCCTCTACTCAACCCATGGACCATTTCATACCATGTGTCTTCTCACCTCCTCCCCCGTCATCAAGATAAAGGCTCTCAAGTTGACCAGCCCTCAGTTTACACTGGTAATGTGGTGACAAGTTATTGCCCATACAACAACTTGTTCGGACAGGAATGAAGAGAATATATGGAACTCATAGTAAACAGAATTGTAACTGCCCAGAATGGGAAATGGCTATGGTTTAAAACAAAACACAAACAACAACCAAAACAGAATGATCAGGGTCTCAGTCACATGCTGTTGAATAGAATCTTGTAACTTTTGGCATCTTCATGTACCCTGATCCAAAGCAAATGGGGCAAAATAAGAAAGCTGCAGACAGGCAGTAGGCTAAGAAAGAAATAACTGGATTGCTTCACTTTGTTCTGTGTGGGCTATTGGCAGAGAAAGAATGTATCCATCAGAGAAATGGGAAAATGTCCAGTGGCTGTGGGTTGACTAAGAGGTAGCGGGGCGCAGAGGTGTGCCGTCCTAGACTGGGGTTAGGGTACACCTCAGCTGAGCTCTCTATTGGCTCTGCCTCTCTAGTTCCAACCTCTGTGTCATCATCCATACTCCAGCCTTGTCTCCTAAGAGGTCCTGCCATTGGCTGGATATCCTGGGAACCTGCCCAGGCCACAAAGCTGAGTTAGTCCAACTTAAATGATTCAATTTCTACCAATTTCCTTCTTTCTTACCACCCAGGACTCTGTCTTGATTCCTCAAAAATCCCTTTCTTCTTCAAGGAAACTCTAGAATCAAGAATCAAACAGCTTGGAGGATTCCTGTCTAGAAAGGTGACCTTTGTTCATCCTTTCTCTCCCTATTGTGTACCCAGCAGTGCTGAAACTTCACTCATCTTAAAGCCAGTATCATGATGCTCTTTCTAATGAGGATAAAAGATGTGTCACTCAGAATGCGGTAAGCTAAGCTTTCCTAGGGCTACCAATTTCCCGTCTTCCTCCATGTATATATGTATATGGGTTCCACCATCCAGCAAGCATTTACTGAGAACCTATTGTTTGCATCATATGCTATTTGATAGGGATTCCAAGCCTGATTTCCTTTCAAGTGTTAATATTTTGAGATCAGATACTGCCTATGGAGAGAGAATGTTCTTAACACGGACTCTCAGGATGCAGGCCACTCTCAGAACAAGCCTGTTTTGCTAATCCTGCTTTGGCACCAGTACAGCTTATCATCTCATCCTTGTCAGCAGATGCTTCCTAGCTGTGCAAATATACTTAGAAATAAAAATACAGTCCTGTTGAAATGCCAATAATTGACAACAGCAGCCATTATCCTTTTGGACTCTTCTGGCAAAACTCGGGCCATGTTTGCTGTCCATTGCCTTTAAGGGACTGCTGGAGAAACCACAAAGATCCAATTCCCAGAATGCTTTAGGTGCGCTGGCAACTGCTGTTAATGAGCAGGAAAAAAACCAGGGCTGTGGGTAATTTCCATATCCCAGGTGGTCTCTGCCACACTGGATGGCTGAACCACATTCCCAGCAGCACGGGACCAGTGAGAAGACAGTAAGCCCTTCAGAAAGAGTCTTGCAACAAGGCAGCTTTTGCAACTCTGGAGGATGTTCCAAATCCCAAAGAGGAGAGGCAAAAAAAAGAAAAGCAATCTGTATGTCATTAGTCAGTCTCAAGGCGTGGTTGGCAGAACTGAGCTTCTACTCATACTGAATCTTGCAGCCACCACTGGCAGATTTAGGAACAGTCTGTGGGGGAATCTCATGGCAGGGGAGAATGGAGAGTAAAACCAGATGGACACCCCTGTGTGTAACAGGTCTTCACCCTATGGTTCTGGTTAACCCAATTCTTCTCTCCCTCTCTCCTGCCAAGACATTCTCTTTCTTTCCATCCCTGCTCTGCAGGAATCCACTCAGCTGTTTCCCAGATGGCAGGTCTCCCGGAATCCAGGGGGAGGTGGAATGGGAGGCTGCTGTGCACATGTGCCTGTGGCTGTGCCCAGAAGGAAGCACAGGCAACTCCCAGTGTATCTGTTCCCCTGCCTTTGACCTCCACTTGGGTGGGGGTCTCGACTACTCGAGGACAAGTTCTTTAAGCAAGGTTGCATGGTTTAGTATTATTTTTGTTTGGTTCCAAAAGGATGAATGTGACACCAGACTCCAGCAGAGGTCCTCAGCTTATGGCAGCTCAATCACCAGAAGGGCAGTGGGGCAATGGGGTGATTAAAAGGGAAGGCATGGCATAGAAGACCAGCTCCACAGCTGTAAGTGATCTGGCCAGGATGCTATCACTCAGTGTGGGGGAGCAGGGATTACAGAGGCCCTCAAGAGGAATCAACACATCAGTATCTTGGGTTTCCTGCTTCTGCAACCAAAGAGCACGTTTGTCCAGATTGCCTTTATGGCTGACAGTTTGATCATCTCATGATTGTCGTCATTCCTGGGGATGGTACCATGCCTAGTGAGGTGTCTGAACAGCTCTGTGCTTGCTGCTGTCAGTGGATGGGGCTGTGATGGATGTCCTACCATGTGTGGGATAGTCCCAAACCATGGAAGATTCTGTCTCCGCAAAGTCCTACTGAATGCTCCACAGCAAATAGAAATTTGCAGCAAAAACTTCTGAAAAGTGAGCTGGGGATGTAGCTCAGTGGACAAACAAGTGAAAAAGAAAAACGTCTAAGTTTCAAAAAGCTTCTTTAAGGCTATACTACATCAATTTATTTACAGAGAACTCAGTTTAAACGGAATCCATTTGATCAAAATTATAAAAAAAATCTGTTCATTTTCCACAACCTGAAAATTGAAAATATTATATAAGTTCTCCAAGTATATATTTCATTGAAATAATTTCAGTGCAATTATGTGGTAGTTCAAAAACCTCACAATCATGGTAAATATGTCTAGAAAAGTAAGATTCTTCTTTAAAATATTGTAAATAGTACACATAAATGAAACATTGTGTTACTGCCTTCTATACATTTTAAGTAATTCTGTGACATTGTGAGGAATCTATTTTGTGAGAAGTACGTATTTAAATTATTTAGGAGTTCTTTTCGTTCTATCTTGCATTGGCATTGTCTCCTGAATTTCCAAACACACTTTTTGAGAGATTATTACGTGTATTACTGTTTCTTTTTCCAGTCTATCCCCTATTGTCCATTGCTTATGCAAATGATATGGTCTTTAAGTCCTTTCGAAGTTTGAGATCTAGTGTGTTGGTGGTAGTAAGATATTAAGGTGTATTTCTTAATGTCCTAAGTATCTTATATATCATATCCTGTTCTGTCAAGATAAGAGTTGTTTCTTCTTCATCCTATATCATAACAAAGAGGATCAATTTGACAATACAGTTACAACAAAGCCCATGTTACTTGCAAAGTGACTTCTTCAATTTTCTTTCACTTCGACAGACTTTGGTTTTCCTTGTAATGTTATTACTAAATCAGTTTAACTTATTTTTGCTTCAGCTCTACACAAATATGTTAGTTAGTTTTTTTGGTTTCTTATTCTGAGATCCTTCTTCAAATGTTTATACTACTTGGCCAAAAAAATCTTTTGATCATGCACTTATATCCAAACATTCATAAACATTTTAAAACTTTATTATGTGTTCTATTTTTGTCAAGTCTGGACATCTATATTGAAATATATTTTTCTGGGGCTGGGGGTTT